ATCAGTAATCAGACCTCCTGGAGATAACCACATTTGACACATACATACATACATACACACATACATACACACATACACACATATACATATACACTACATATACACTACATATACACACAAAAAATCATACACATACACATAAATATACACACATATATGCAAATATACACATATACACATACACACATGTGGTATATATTATTTATGATTTATTAAAGCTCACCTGATAGTCAGATAAGCAAACCAGCCAGCCACTAGCTCTTCACTCTACTTCAGACTGAAAGGGTGATCCAGCTACCTTCATAAATCCTCAAATTGCAATCCTAGACTGCTGCCTCTCCTCAATGTGGCTGGAGAATAAATCCTCACATGAGACCCTTTGGTTCTTCCTTTTTATATCTCCCTAATTTTGGGATGAAAGGCCAGTGATCCCAAGTGGTGAGATCACCTTTGTGTGAGCTGTTTCTCTTTAGGACTGAATCAATTTCATGTAACTCAGTGTGGCCTTGAACTAACAGAGATCCATCTGCTTGTCTCTTGAGTCCTGGGATTAAAGGTGTATGCTACCCCCACCTCACTCTATGGCTAGCTAGTACGGCTACTGAGATTAAAGGTATGTATCACCATTGCCTGACCTCTATGGCTTGTGGCTAACTTTGCTTTCTGAACCCTCAGACAAGCTTTAATAAATCATAAATAATATATCACCACACCATATACACAAATACACACACAGATACACACACACACACACACACACACACACACACATATATATGGTCATTCTAGTGTGTAGGTACCAAAATAAATTCAGTGATTACCTGGTTTTGAACAGTCATTCTATTTCTGTTGCTCTTTGTGACAAATGATGGCAATGTATGTATCCCATGGCCAATTCTTTATACATATCTGCTGGATTTTTTTTTTGAAGGGAAAAAATAAGCTAAATGGACAACAGTAGAAATCATAAAGTTGTTATGCAGAGGCAGCATAAACAGCCTAATAAGTGACAAGAAGAATTTCCTATGGTTATCGACATAATCACAGTTCTTATTTCTTATCACTTCTTTTGGAAACTTTACATACATGTGTCTATCAGTGATAGCCTGCACGATACAACAGTCATCTCATACAGTATAATGAGCTGAAGCGATCCCTTTCATGTAGAACTTTCACTATACCTTTGCCTTTTAGATACACAAATACTTGCCACAGTGTTGTGACCTTCCACAATACCCAGCAGGGAAGCATACTGTGTGTGTGTTAGCTTCGGATTGTCAGGCTCTAATAGCCTGACAGGGTAATAGGCTATGATTTCTAGCTCTGTGTAGAGACACTCTGTGATATTTACAGAGTACACCCCCCCCCACCCTGTCCCCAATGAATCGTGTGACTGTGTTGTTTCTTCCTTCATACTGAGCGACCTGTGAAGTTATTGTTTCTCTGCCCATTCACAGGTGAATAAAGTAAATCAGACAGGGGCAGACTGACATACGTCTGACAGGGGTGGACTGCCAGGATTTAACACACTTCTTGATTCTGAAAATAGTATCTTCTACCATAGCATGATACCTTCCATGGTTATGTTTGGGGAGACAGCTCCAAAATAGCTTCTCATGGGCTTTTCTGGTAGGGATTTCCCTGGGGTTGTTCTGCCTCCTGCTCTGCAGCAAAGCAGTCTGCTCCTCTTAGGCCAGGCAGGGAAGGCCTCACAACAATGACATCCCCAGCCAACCCTGGTTTGTTCTGTGTTTTCTTTGCAACGTGCCAGATTATGACAGGGCATGAGGAGTGTGTGCAAATGCTGCTGGAGCAAGAAGCGTCAATCCTCTGTAAAGACTCCAGAGGCAGGACACCCCTGCACTATGCGGCTGCTCGAGGCCATGCCACCTGGCTGAGTGAGCTGCTCCAGATCGCCCTTTCTGAAGAGGACTGTTGCCTCAAAGACAACCAGGGCTACACACCGCTGCACTGGGCTTGTTACAATGGTGAGTTGCCTGCCATCTGAGTGATTCTACTTGACTTTCTCACCTCGAACCTCAGTAGAGGTGAGAACATTGCTGTATGCTGCAGTTTCCAGGGTCTGTGCACCCTGGACATGGCTTTTGTCTGTCGTTGGCTGTTTTAAACAGATTCCCCAGCCCCACCCCATGGCTGCCACGATGCCTTGACTGAGTAAAAGTTTGCCTTCTGTGATATGTAACCCCTCATTAGAATCACCAAAGGTCTCGAGCAATTGTAACCAGGGTTTCTGATCTATATCAGATAACCAGAAATCACATGAAGTATGAAAGCAGTAAAGGTAAAAGCAAAACGCCGTATGCACCACAGCTCCTGTCACAAGTGGACACTAGTGGATGTGTGGTTTATCTTTAGGTCTTTCTTTTTTAATACTCAAATCCCACGTTTGTACTTACATCTTGGGATGTTTAATTTCTTATTTCACTTATTTGGCAAAAGAGAGAAGTGACTGCTAATTGTACCTTTTCATAATATTGAAGTGGGCTGAGGATATGGCTCTGTTTGCAGGGTGCTTGTTGAGCATGCATAAAGCCTTTGGTTCAGTCCCCAGCACTGTATGGTAGCAATGCTGTAATCCCAGCACCCAGCAGGCAGTGGCAGAAGGATCAGAAGTTCAAAGCTATCCTCATTCATGCAACAACTTCAAGGTCAGCTTGAGCTACATGAGACCCCACCACACAACTAAAGAAAACTAAGCTAACATTTCCTATTCCCAAGCCTATTTTCTGATATAATTTTGTATGTATGTCTCATAATTTTTCTTGGGATTATAATTACAAATATATATATATATATATATATATATATATATATATATATATAAAAAAAAAAAAACAAACCATAGAGAGAAT